CAGTGTATTTTTCAGTTCTGTTTTTATTAATTTCTCTGTTTTGCCTTTGTGCATTTGTGCTTTTAGCTGAACATAGGCTGCAAGCTCCATTCCCTGGCATTGAGCTACCAAGTACGAGAGTACATCTCTTCTGGTTCACCTTGACAAGGCTTGACTGGGATTTGCAGGGCTGTTTGCGATGGCAGCTTATTAACTGCATGGATGAATGGATAGTATAACTTGGAGCAGGGAGACCCTGCTCTGTTTAAAACGGGAATACTGCAGAATGCTCACACTTGTGCTAAATGTATGGAAGGACCATAATGCTGAGCATCTGTGAGACCCAAATAGATAATCCTTGAAAAGCAACATTACCATCTTTGTACTTGTGCCACATTGTGACTTTGAGGGTTTCATCCCCACCTCTAAGCTCTTTACCCTTATTCAATCTTACTTCTGAAGGACAACAGGCAGTATGTTTTTCAGAGGAAGAAACATGATGAGAATAACTTCAATAACCAAGACTTTTCCATGGAGTGCAAGTCCTTCAAGTTTGGGTCAGCCAGGCATCTTGTCACATGCAGAAACTCATCACCTTGCTTCAGAGTATCCAAATACTGTCACCCGCAGAGTGTCCCACAATTGTATTCCACCTACACATAGAGATTTCCATGTCTGGACTGGAAAGAGCATCCCATCTTATCTAATACCAAAGACAATTAGGCACAGGTTGGCGAGAGTCAAGTCTTGAGGACCCAAGAGTGTGCATTAGGATAACTGTTGAATTTTAACAAACTAAAACCACATAGCTTTCCATTGAGAGCACTGTCTGGCAAGCTTCTTAGGACCACTCTACCTGTTTGTGCTTTGGGTTGCAAGGTTAACAGGAGCTGAGTTGGAAGAATCCCTTCCCCCAGTAACTGGTCTGCCCCTCTTAAGTTCTACCAATGTTGAGCTGATGTGTGATTGGAGTGCCTTGGAGTACTACAGACCTGCCTGGCTCAGGACCCGGCCTCCTGAGACTGCTACAGTGGGTTGACTCGAATTCAATATTCCATTGCCAAGCATGTCACCTTGAAGCCAGCTTAGCTCCCATGAGACCCTGCTTACTACCTCTCCCCGTCTAGAGTATAGTGACAAGTTAAGTCAGGCCACTGAAAATTGCAGCCTGCAGGTCACCAAGTCTGAACTACCCACTGCTCTATGAAAAGCTGTTGCTTGGTTCCTGATCCAATAACGGTCAATAAAGCTCATTGCACAACTGAGGCCTGTTTAAATCTTCTTGTAGGGACTTCTCAATGCGGTAGGGTTTGCTCAAACCTGTGGTCTTTTACACACATTTTGTTTGCTTTCTTGCTGTGGTGAGCAGTCTTGTGCATGTTTGGAACACTGCAGACCTGGACCTTTTTATTTCAACTTTCGCCTGTGGCATGTAAGGGCACTGCTAGGGCAAGTGTCTGAACAGATCCTCCTTGGAAATGGATGGGAAAGGAGTATGTGATGCAGAGCTCTTCCCAACCGCACATTGAAATCCATTCTTACAAACTCTTTATTTTGCTGCCTCAATGCAGTGAGCCCCGACCTGCAGCTCACAAGTTTGTAATAATGAGGTTGGAGAGTGCAGACGGCAATAACCAGTCACACTTCAGCAGATCCATTGGAATAGGAGTGCTAGGCATTACATGTTTTTTTGTTCATCCATGAGGTTTGGGAGATTGGAACTTGTTTGTGTACAAGTTGTGCCAGATAAGCATTGACTGTGGTGGTTTGCAATAATCAGACCAGATGTTAAAGTTTTCACTTCTCTCCATTAATTCATTGGGTGGTGTTAGATTTCAAGCAAGTTCCCTCTGACACTTGTATGTAACGCATGCTGTTTGTGGCTCCTCTAGAGGAGCTGTATAAAAAGCACATTGCATACCTCACTAACTCTCAAGTCCTCACTGTTATTACGTATCTCTTCTATCCCCACCCCCCCCAATGTCATTTGTAACTTTGACTTAGACTGTCTCTGGCAGGATGGAAGCCAGATTGGAGAGGCTCATACATGGAGTGGTGGGAGAGGAAGGAGCAAAGCTGGGAAGCAATGATTTGTTCCGGGACATTGGAAAGAAAGGGAAGGTTAGAGATAGTGATTTCAGCAGTTGGGCTGTGATTCCTACTCCTGATCACTACCCAGTGTCTTTGCCTCTCCCTGGCCACGCCTCTTGCTGGAAGCTGCATCGAGGCCGTCAGGTGAGAAAGAGATTGGCTAGAGTCTGATCTGCCCCACGGTCGATGACTCAGGCTCCTGTGTGGGCTAGCAGTAGTTGGCCATATGTGGATTCAGCCCCTGACATGAGAGAGAGAAAGTTCCGGGAGGAGAGAAAATTGGGGAAAACATTTTAAAAATTCACCTTGTTTTGCTTGATGTATATTGTGCCTTTTATACAGCTCTAGAGATGGTGTTGGATGAGTTACTATTTGAATGTGTGACTGGCTTTCACATTGGTAGATAACCATCTCTTTCCATTGTGCAGTGATGATGCCTAAAGAGAAGCCACCAATCACTGTCGTTGGAGATGTTGGTGGAAGAATAGCCATCATTGTGGTAAGGACTGGTGTCAGCCTCAATCAGTGCTGGGATTTGTGATTCAAGCTGGCTTGATTGTGGGCCCTTCCTCGAATCCCCACAGATTGCTGTGTTTACCCCACAGTGGCCTATAGGCTGTTTGTCTGTTTGTCTTTGATTGAAGGCGCAGGTCAGTATGGCAACCCGAAGACTGATTGTTCAGTTGATTGAGTTTATTGTGCGTGAAGCAATCTGCTTCCGTAGCCTCATGTTAGCTACATACTGTGTTAAGATGGTGGATTTCACACCAATATTCCTTTTGTAAATAAGATTGTTTGCTGTCAACTGACAATATCAAACCTGCTTCAAGGTAGTAACCAGCCAGCACGGATGAACTGATTTAGCAGCACATTAACAGGGTGGGTGGGTGGGGAGGGGGACGGAGAGGGTAAATCACTGTGGAAAGCTGTTAAAAAGATCAAACTTGTTAATTTTTTTTGTGTGAGGTAGTGATTTTTTTTGATGAGTCGGGTGTCTGTCATGGGTGGAAACCCATCACGATGCTTAACAGTATCCAAACCCGATTGTCATCAGTACTGATAGTGGCTGTCAGATGAGGCTAAATTGCTGGAATAGACATTACATGAGGATTCTACTTGTATCCTCTTGTCTGAAAACTGCTGCTGTTTATCATTCTTTCACTCCCCTGCCACAGGATGACATTATCGATGATGTTGATGGATTTGTGGCTGCTGCAGAGATTCTGAAGGAACGGGGAGCATATAAAATATACGTCATGGCCACACACGGCCTCCTCTCTGCGGATGCACCCTGTCTAATAGAGGAGTCGGCCATCAATGAGGTAATTCTGCCACTTCTATTATAAACTCAGCTCAACATGAAAGAAAAGTAAATTCTATGATTTACTCCATTTTAAATTATTTTACTGGATAATGGACATTATAGTCTCATTGTTCTCAATTATCACAAAACTAGTTAAAAGTGAGGCCAAAAGACATTTCCTTACAGAGAGTGGAGTGTGGAACTCTCTACCACAAACTTTTGTTGAAAAAGAGTTTATAATCTTGCATTTGATAATGTTGAGAATGTCTCAAAGCATTTCACAAAGATTAGAGTAGTGCCTGGAATTGTATGCAAATACAGCAGCCAATTTGTACAAAGAATGGTACATAAAGGGTCATGAAGTACACTAGCCACCTCCGCTCCCTCAAGCCACAGGTGCATGACGCCAAACACACCTGGCTCAAATCTAATTTAAAACAGTCCATTGGCAAATCTGGCTGGACCACATCAAAACACCGCTACACCCTCGAGTCCCCTAAATCGTCCTTCGAATCCAATCTTGGAGACCAAGGACAACCCCAGGCTTCTCTTCACTACCAACTCTGCTCCTCCACCCACCCTCTCATGCCTCGCCCATCCTCTCCTCCAACTCCAAGGAGATGCTGAACTTCCTCAAGACTAAAATCGAGGGGACCCGCTCAGCCAACTCTGCCCTCCCAACTGCTACCCCATCCCCACCTGCCCCTCACACTCTGGCCCTACCCATCATTCCCTCCACACCTTCGAACCTGTCTCCCCCTCCACTCTCACCATCATTATAACACACATGAAACCCACCACCTGCTCCCTCGACCCCATCCCTACTCTCATCTTCCAGCTCCACCTCCTTGCCTCTCTACTCACAGATCTCATCAACTGTCCATTGGTATCATTCCCACCCTGCTAAAAACAGCTGTCATCATCCTTATCCTCAAAAAAACCTTCCAGGGACCAATCCCTGCTCTCAAATTACTGCTCCATCTCCAACCTCCAAGGACCTTTAACAAGTCGTTGCTTCCCAGCTTTGCTCCTTCCTCTCCGGCCACTTAGATACAAACCCCTCCAATGGGGATTCCGTGCTGCCCATAGCACAGAAACAGCCCTGGTCAAGGTGACATTCTGTCCATCTGTGACCAAGGCTCCCTCTTCCTCCTTGACCTCTCTGCTGCCCTAATACTGTTGACCACGCTATCCCCCTCCACAGCCTTCTCTCACTTCAACCTTCATGGTTCTGTCCTTGAATGGTTTAGATCCTACCTCTCACACTGTCTCCACTTCATCTCCACAAACAGCTTCGCCTCCAGCCCCTGCACCGGCTCATGTGGCGTTTTTCGGGGGCTCTGTCCTTGGTACCCTTCTCATCAACTTGTACATGCTCCGTCTTGGTGACATCATCCGCGGCCATGGAGTCAACTTCCACATGTATACGAACGACACCTAATTCTATCTTTGTGTCTCTACCCTTTACTCCAGGACCCATTGCTGTCCTATCATAGAATCGTACAAAAGAGGCCATTCGGCCCATTGAGTCTGTGTGGCTCTTTGAATAGACCAATGTAATGTCAATCCCACTCCCCGGCCCTTTCCCCATAACCCGCAAACCTGTCCTCCGCAAATACCCATCCACCACGTTTTTAAAAGTAGTTATCGATCGGCCTCGACCGCCCTCTCAGGCAATGTTCCAGATTCGAACAACTCGCTGCGTGAAAACATTTCTTCTCACCTCTCCCCTCGGCTTCTTTTAGAGACTATTTTGAATCTGTGACCTCGAGTCACCGACACACCCACCAGTGGGAACAGTTTTTCCCTTTCTAACCTATCAAATCCCCTCATGATTTTGAAGACCTCTATTAGGTCCTCGTAACCTTCTCTGCTCCAATGAGAATAATCCTCACCTCTCCAGCCTTTCCTCATCATCGAGGTCCCTCATTCCTGGTCCCATCCTCGTAAATCTCCTCTGCGCCCTTTCCAATGCCTTAACATCCTTCCTGTAGTGTGGGGCCCAGAACTGGGCGCAGTATTCTAACTGAGGCCTAACCAGTGTTTATATGGGTTAATCATCACCTCCTGACTCTTGTACTCTATGTCCCTATTTATAAATCCTAGAATCCCATTTGCCCTTTTTACAGCTTTATCTACCTGTCCTGTCACCTTCAAGGATTCATTTACCTGCACCCCCAGGTCTCTCTGTTCTTTTACCCCCCTTAAGATTGTATTACCGCCTATATTGTCTCCCCTCATTCTTTCTACCAAAATGCATTACCTCGCATTTCTCCACATTGAAACTCATCTGCCATGTGTCGGCCATTTTACCATCTGTCTATGTCTTCCTGCAGTCGGCTCCTGTCCTTCTCACTGTTTGCCCCCTCCCTAACTTAGTGTCGTCCGCAAACTTGGAAATGGTACTTGCTATACCCAAGTCCAGATCATTTATGTATATTAAGAAGAGTAGTGGTCCTAATACCGATCCCTGGGGGACACCACTATACACTTCCCTCCAGTCAGAAAAGCAGCCGTTCACCACAACTCTCTGCTTTCTGTCTCCCAGACAGTTCTGGATCCACTGCCACTGTCCCTTTTATACCATGGACTTCTATCTTTCTTGCAAGTCTTTTATGTGGAACTTTGTCAGATGTCTGTCAGACATCAAGTCCTGGGTGAGAGCTAACTTTCCCCAGTTGAATGTCAACAAGCCCAAGGCTCTCCTGATTGATTCCAGTCAGCGCCTTCACACCTCAGGCACTGACAGCATCACTATCCAGGGATACCTCACTGAACCAGTCAGGAATCTTGGTGTCTAGTTTGACCCACAACTGTCCTTTGTCCCCCACATCCGTGCCATGTCCCGCTCTGCCTCCCCCACCTCTGCAACAGCTCCAGGCTGTGCCACAGCTCCCTTCAGCCCGCCAAGACCCTCATTCATGCGTCCATCACATCTAGGATTGACTACACCAACTCCCTGTTTGTCAGCCTTATCAACTCTTCTCTCCACAAGCTGCAGATCATACAGAACTCTGCAGCTCGTGTCCTCTCCCATACCAGGCTCTGTGACCCCATCGCCCCTTGCCCAACTCCACTGGTCCCCATCCCTCAGAGGATAGAGTTCAAAATCCTCATCCTCACCTTCAAGGCCTTCCACGGCCTTGCCGCATCCTATCTCTGTGACATACTGACCCCATATCAACCTGTCCGACCCCTCTGCCCAGCAGGCTCCGGCCTGCTCCACATCCCCTGCCCTGCCCACCATCGGCTAGCGGGCCTTCATCCTCTCTGCCCTCACCCACTAGAACTCCATCCCACATTCCCTTCGCCTCGCTCCCTCCCTTGCCTCCTCTAAGGCACGTCTCAAGACCCTCCTTTGACCGTGCTTTTAGCCACCCTCCTTGCCCTCCACCCTTCCTGATCCCAACGCCGCCCTCTCCCCCCTCCAGCTTGGGACCAAATTCCTGACTGTCTTGGGATGTCCTCTCAATGTGAAAAGCACTTTACAAATGTAATTTTGTATTGTATCAAGTGAGTGACCAATTGTTATCTGCAGGATTGTTGCCCAAGACGCCAGGACAAACTCCCTTCTCCTTTCCAATAATGCCATTGGATCTTTACTACCTATCTGATCAGGACCTCAGGTTAATGTCTAATCCAAAGATGTCTGACATTGAAGCATTCCCCTAGCACCATACTGTGGGGTTGGACTGTGAGCTTAAAAGTCTGGCTTGAACCCAGAACCTTCTGACTCCGGGTCGAGTGTGCATATTCACTTAGTTGGAGTTCAGAAATTACTTTTAAAATGATAAAGGAGCCTGAGGGTAGATGAGGTGATGTGTCAGCACATTCTGTGATTCTCAGTCAATCTGTGCAAGGGCTTGTCACAGACGGCCACCTTTCAGCTATTAGATTTTTGGGAAATGCACCTTTTTGAAGAAGTCTTATTACTGCCTCAGATTCGTTTAAATATTTATGTTTGTCCCAAAGGTGGTTGTAACGAATACGATTCCTCATGAAGTTCAGAAGCTGCAGTGCCCCAAGATCAAAACTGTTGATGTCAGCATGATTCTGTCTGAGGCCATCAGGCGCATTCACAATGGAGAGTCCATGTCCTACCTGTTCCGCAACATCACAGTTGATGACTAGCCACTTCCTGTCCAATCTACCTCCATGTAGAAACAAAAGGGAGTCTTAAAAGTGAAAAGTTGTGTAACCGGACAACGATGCAGGTGAACTGTGTGGAAATACCCAATCCAGTTTGTTCTTTTTAAATCCCTTCAGTAGGCATCACCTTCGTACCAGTTTTTAGGTAGCATTGTTAGTTCAACGTGTTAATATGCGGTGTGCCTGTGAACGGGAGATTTGTGGTTACTTTTAAGACCTGTAAGAATTCAAATAGTTTATTATTTCATTCTGTAAATAGTCTACAGTCTGTTAGAAAATCTTGATGGCATTTTGTGATCAATGTGTTGCAGTTGGGCTGCTTATGCCTGCAGTGCCATAAAGAGCTGCTTTGGACTGGTCACTAATAAGCTTGCTGGCACTATAGGGCAGACATGACAGACACATCTATCAATTCATCTTCTGTAGAAACTGGGAATGGAAGAAAATTAAATCCTTGTATTAGCTTGAGACTAGGAATGATTTGGTTATCATGTAACTAGCGTGAGCTGGAGATGATCTCTGGTTTGAAGCCTCAGTACAAATGAAGAATAATGTGACATTTTACCTTGACATAGTTTACATTTATGTTTTATTGTTTTCCTTGATGTCCCACTGAGTATTTACTAAACTTATATTTTATATAATTAATGCTCAGTAGGAACAAGAGGTAAAATGACCATATGCACTGCAAGTAATCCCTTATCTTCTGTCATTTGTGTTTGTTCCACTTCATTGCAACAGTTACAGGGTCAAACTAATGATTGAGTCTCTGTATTGGGATTGGTGCCTATCATGCCTTGCACTCGCCCAGTATTTGTGTTCCTCTTACTGGTTTCCAGTATTAAATCTTGTTAAAGTGCTTCTCATCCACAATGCCTTTGGGTATGTTAACATGGTTTCTGTGATATTGTGTTAAGGCTTTTCTCTCAGGTTCAAACACCATCACAGTCTGAACCCTGCTGAATAAACAAGTGCAATGCCACCTTGTTCAACATTATTTGTGCTTTGCTGCAAATTCCCTTCGCATTTCTTCAGGACTGCAGAATCACTTTAAAATAACATAGAACACATATCACATGTGCACAATGCGTGTCACACAACATACATGCTGGATGTAACATTTGTTTCATGTTGAACATGCCACAAAATACATTTCTCATAATTCTCATACATTTCTCATAAAACACCAACAAATTGCTTTTATATAACATCCTTCAAGTCAGGCAGACGTCCCAACTCGCTGCACAGTTGAGGGTTTGAACCTGAGCTGGTGGTTGGATTCGGGAGCTGTGGGGTCAAGGAGGTGGTGGATGAACAAAAGTGCAAAGAGGAAGGTTCAGATGGACCTTAAAGGAGATGAGCAAAGGGGTTCCAGAGAGTGGTGACAGGCTGAAAGTGGGGGAGTGGGGCAGGAAGTGAGGCCAGTACCTTTTGAGGGGAGAGTTGGGCAGATTGATGAGGTTTTAGGAGGTTACAGAGATAGGGATGGGGCAAGACTGAAGGAATTTAAGAGTGATCTTCTCCTTGACCTCTCTGCTGCCCTAATACTGTTGACCACGCTATCCCCCTCCACAGCCTTCTCTCACTTCAACCTTCATGGTTCTGTCCTTGAATGGTTTAGATCCTACCTCTCACACTGTCTCCACTTCATCTCCACAAACAGCTTCGCCTCCAGCCCCTGCACCGGCTCATGTGGCGTTTTTCGGGGGCTCTGTCCTTGGTACCCTTCTCATCAACTTGTACATGCTCCGTCTTGGTGACATCATCCGCGGCCATGGAGTCAACTTCCACATGTATACGAACGACACCTAATTCTATCTTTGTGTCTCTACCCTTTACTCCAGGACCCATTGCTGTCCTATCATAGAATCGTACAAAAGAGGCCATTCGGCCCATTGAGTCTGTGTGGCTCTTTGAATAGACCAATGTAATGTCAATCCCACTCCCGGCCCTTTCCCCATAACCCGCAAACCTGTCCTCCGCAAATACCCATCCACCACGTTTTTAAAAGTAGTTATCGATCGGCCTCGACCGCCCTCTCAGGCAATGTTCCAGATTCGAACAACTCGCTGCGTGAAAACATTTCTTCTCACCTCTCCCCTCGGCTTCTTTTAGAGACTATTTTGAATCTGTGACCTCGAGTCACCGACACACCCACCAGTGGGAACAGTTTTTCCCTTTCTAACCTATCAAATCCCCTCATGATTTTGAAGACCTCTATTAGGTCCTCGTAACCTTCTCTGCTCCAATGAGAATAATCCTCACCTCTCCAGCCTTTCCTCATCATCACGGTCCCTCATTCCTGGTCCCATCCTCGTAAATCTCCTCTGCGCCCTTTCCAATGCCTTAACATCCTTCCTATAGTGTGGTGCCCAGAACTGGGCGCAGTATTCTAACTGAGGCCTAACCAGTGTTTATATGGGTTAATCATACCTCCTGACTCTTGTACTCTATGCCCTATTTATAAACCTAGAATCCCATTTGCCCTTTTTACAGCTTTATCTACCTGTCCTGCACCTTCAAGGATTATTTACCTGCACCCCCAGGTCTCTCTGTTCTTTTACCCCCCTTAAGATTGTATTACCGCCTATATTGCTCCCCTCATTCTTTCTACCAAAATGCATTACCTCGCATTTCTCCACATTGAAACTCATCTGCCATGTGTCGCCATTTTACCATCTGTCTATGTCTTCCTGCAGTCGGCTCCTGTCCTTCTCACTGTTTCCCCCTCCCTAACTTGTGTCGTCCGCAAACTTGGAAATGGTACTTGCTATACCCAAGTCCAGATCATTTATGTATATTAAGAAGAGAGTGGTCCTAATACCGATCCCTGGGGACACCACTATACACTTCCCTCCAGTCAGAAAAGCAGCCGTTCACCACAACTCTCTGCTTTCTGTCTCCCAGACAGTTCTGGATCCACTGCCACTGTCCCTTTTATACCATGGACTTCTATCTTTCTTGCAAGTCTTTTATGTGGAACTTTGTCAGATGTCTGTCAGACATCAAGTCCTGGGTGAGAGCTAACTTTCCCCAGTTGAATGTCAACAAGCCCAAGGCTCTCCTGATTGATTCCAGTCAGCGCCTTCACACCTCAGGCACTGACAGCATCACTATCCAGGGATACCTCACTGAACCAGTCAGGAATCTTGGTGTCTAGTTTGACCCACAACTGTCCTTTGTCCCCCACATCCGTGCCATGTCCCGCTCTGCCTCCCCCACCTCTGCAACAGCTCCAGGCTGTGCCACAGCTCCCTTCAGCCCGCCAAGACCCTCATTCATGCGTCCATCACATCTAGGATTGACTACACCAACTCCCTGTTTGTCAGCCTTATCAACTCTTCTCTCCACAAGCTGCAGATCATACAGAACTCTGCAGCTCGTGTCCTCTCCCATACCAGGCTCTGTGACCCCATCGCCCCTTGCCCAACTCCACTGGTCCCCATCCCTCAGAGGATAGAGTTCAAAATCCTCATCCTCACCTTCAAGGCCTTCCACGGCCTTGCCGCATCCTATCTCTGTGACCAGCTGCGCTCTTTCCTCTCCACCCACTCACTTTTTGAACCCCTCCAGTCGGGTTTCCGTGCTGCCCATAGCACAGAAACTGCCCTGGTCAAGGTCACCAATGACATCCTGACGATCTGTGACCAGGGCTCCCTCTGCCTCCTCGTCCTCCTCGACGTATAGGCCGCATTTGATACGGTTGACCACTCTATCCTCCTCCACCGCTTGTCCTCCCACCTCAACCTTCAAGGCCCTGTCAAGACCTCTCCCACCGTCTTTATTTTGTCTTCGCTAACGGCTGTCTTGTGCGGTGTCCCTCAGGGCTCTGTCCTCGGTCCCCTCCTCTTCACCCTCTATACGCTCCCCCTGTGGTGACATCATCCGCAGACATGGAGTTAACTTCCCCATGTATGCGGATGACACCCAACTCTACCTTTCCTCCTCTAAACCCTCAACTCCACGACCCCGATGTCCTGACAGCTGTCTGTCCGACATCGAGTCCTGGACGAGAGACAACTTTCTTCAGCTCAACGTGCGAAAAACTGAGGCCCTCCTGATTGGCTCACATCAGCGCCTCCGCACCTCAGGCGCTGACACCATCAGCTCCGCACTCTCCACCTCTCAAAGCCATCAGGAACCTCGGGTTCTGTTCGACCTGAGCTGTCCTTTCTCCCTCATATCTGCGCCACAACTGGCACCGCCTTCCATCACCTCCGGAACATCGCCAGACTACGGCATTACCTCACCCCTCACGCGGCTGAAACTCTGGTCCACGCCTTTATCACCTCAAGGCTGGACTATGGGAACTCTCTCCTCGCCGGCCTTCCCGGCCCTCCCTCCACACTGCAGGTCATTCAGAACTCTGCAGCTCGTGTACTGTCCCGCACCAGGCTTCGGGAACACATCACTCCCACCCTCGCCCTCACTCCCACCCTCACCCTCACCTTCGCCCTCACCCTCGCTCGCCTCCACCGGCTCCCCATCCCCCAGAGGATCGATTTCAAGATCCTCATCCTCACCTACAAGGCCATTCACGGCCTCGCTCCCTCCTACCCCTCCGACCTACTATCCCCCTACCTACCTGCCTGTACCCTCCGTTCCTCTGGCTCTGGTCTGCTCCACATCCCCCGCCCCAACCGCCCTACCATCGGTGGCCGGGCCTTCAGCCTCTCAGCCCCGAGGCTCTGGAACTCTATCCCCAGTGCCTTCGCCGCTTCCTCCCTCTCCTCCTTCAAGGCCGGTGTCAAGACCTTTCTCTTTGACCGTACCTTCAGCTCCACTCTCGACTCTCTACCCCCTCCTCACCCCCTCCCTTCCCTCCCCTCACCCTGACCGTTTCCCCCCTCCTCGCTCCCTCCCTTCCCTCCCCTCACCTGACTATTTCCCCCTCCTCGCTCCCTCCCTTCCCTCCCCCTGACCATTTCCCCCTCCTCGCTCCCCTTCCCTCCCCTCACCCTGACCATTTCCCCCCTCCTCACTCCCTCCCTTCCCTCCCCTCACCCTGACCATTTCCCCCCTGCTCGCTCCCTCCCTTCCCTCCCCTCACCCTGACCATTTCCCCCCCAATGCTCGGGTCCCAACCCAACTGTCCAGCGCCCTGGGACGTCCTCCCGACGTGAAAGGCGCTCTATAAATGCAATCTTGTTGTTGTTGTTGTAACAACGAGCCTGCCCCATCCTCGCTCTGTCCACTGGCTCCCCAGCCTTCAGCACATCCAGTTCAACATCCCCTCCCCTCCCTGCGCTCAGCAAACGACCCTTCATCGTCGGGTAAGCTTTCAGACATTCTGTCTCTGCTCTGTGAAACCCCATCCCAGAGTCCCTTTGACTAGCTTCCCCTTCCCCCCCCCCACCACCACCTTTAACAGTCACCTTAACATCCATCTTCAACCGAGGGTTCAGTCACGTTTCACCCACAAAATATCCAGTCAATTCACTATAATTACAGTATATCTTGTGAAGCGCTATAGAAGTCTCGAAGACATGATAAAGCGCTATATCAAATTATTATTCCCTCCCCTCCCTCAGTACAGGTGCTCAGGCAGCTGTGTGCGCGCTTGGCTGGCCTGCAGAATGAAGGTGCTGTATAACTGTACGCTGTGTCTGTCTCAGGTGTACGGAGGAGGTGAAGCTGGGGGAGGAGGACCCCAGGCCCAGGCTCTGTTATAATGTGGAGTTTACGTTTGATGCCGACGCTCGAGTTGCCATCACCATCTATTACCAGGCGACAGAAGAGTTCCAGAGTGGCTGTGCCATGTACGTAATGAGCTGGAGCTGGTCGTGGTGTCTGTGGGAGCTTTGTGTTTGTTGGTGACATTTTCATAAAATTTATGAGCAAGGTCAGGCTGATCACCCCCATTGAACCGATTACACACAAATGTTACACTTTGCAAACGGGGATTGTACCCCCAGGCAAGCTCCTCCCACCAAACTCTTCTGGGGCCCAAATTGTCAAAGGACAATGCGGATCTGAACCTTGTCTTCTCGACCCCACCCCCCACCCACCGACCCCACCCCCCCCCCCACCCCCGAGCAGGTCAAGTGATGGGATGGCCTCTCTGGCAGGGGAAGCCCGGCCTGAGCCTAGTGATCAGGGGCTCAAGTGATATCAGTGACTCCCCTTCCTCAGTGTGAGGGCAGATCTCACTCCTGCAATACCAACTCCAACCAAAAGAGAGCAGACAGGATATTCAGCCATAATCCTTCCCATGTCCAGTTCTGGGTGAGATTGGGTCATGGTCACCAACACAAGCCAATCTCAACAAGAGAAGAACCTAACTTCACTGTCCTCTTTGGTCTCCATAGATACACTGCAAGAGAGCGCCTCCTGCAGTCAGAAACAGTGCATTACAAGCGGGGAATGTGCCAGAGTTTCTGTCTGCCTTCACACACTGTACAGCCCTCCCAGTGGGTTGAGGAGGAGGTAATGTTTTGATTGCAGTGGCTTCCTGGCTTTAATATTCCACTTTCAGAGTTCTGCTCCTTAAGACTGAGCTGTGCAAAGTGTGCCCCTCCCCCTTTCCACCATCTTCCCTCGCTTCCCCCCTCCCCCTCCCTTTCCCTTCCCTCTCCCCATCTCCTTCGGGCCCCTCCCTATTCCCTGCCCCCTCCCCTTCCCTCTCCCCTTCCCTCCCACCTTCCCTCCCCCCTTTCCCTCTCCCCCCGCCCGTCCCCAAGGCTGAGCGTGACGGGGAGAAGAGGAATGGCACTCCTGCAGCTCCGGCGAGTGACCTTGTTTCTCTTTCTCCTGCAGCTGGGCTATGATGGTGACCGGGACATTTACCCTGCGGTGATCCAGGCCGTGGTTGCCGAGGGAGATGGTGAGGAGCGGTGGCTTTACTCGAGTTTCAACAGACAACAACAACTTGCATTTACACAGCGCCCCTGACACAGGGCACTTGACAGTAGTGAAGCACAACGCTGATTCGGGGAGAGGGGGGAGGTGACCATAGACGCAGTCAAAGAGGAAGGTCTTCAGGTGTGATCTGAAGATGGGGAGGGAGGGGGCAAGGCGGAAGGATAATCAGAGAGTCAGCGTGGATTTGTGAAAGGAAGGTCATGTCTGACGAATCTGATTTTTTGAGGAGATCACTAATATGGTAGATAAAATGTTGTTTACTTGGACTTCCAGAAGGCATTTATGAGGTTCCGACAAGAGGTTATTAGCAAAAATAAAAGCCCATGGAATGGGAGGTAACCTTGCAATGTGGCTTGGTAATTGATTGGGAGGCAAGAAACAGAGAGTAGGGATAAAATGAACTTTTTCTGATTGGTGGGATGTGACAATCATAGAATTATACAGCACAGAAGGAGGCCATTCAGCCCATCGTGTCTGTGCCGGCTATTTGAAAAGGCCTCCAAATCCCCCTGCTCTCACCCCTTAGCCCTGCAAACTTGTCCTCCCCAAATAAGTATCTAATTATTGGTGTAAAGTAGTGTTCTCCAGTGGTCTGTCCTGGAGTCTAATATATACACTAGCTGTACTCATTGCAGCTTTGTTTGCAACCAAAGGATCCAATATGGAATGTAGATTGACAGACAGACGCATAGACATTTCATCTTTATCTTCTGTGGGAGGATTCCTTTTGGGAGGACTCCTGTAGGCAGGACTCTTTGTTAGGAGGTCATGTGTGATGAGCTTGTTAACGTCACAGCTTTCCTCTATCACTATTTTGTTGCAGAATACCATGCATACCTCATATTTAAAGCATTTTATAAATGTAACGATAGGAAATTATTGGGGAAAAATATATGCCCAGGACACTTCTCCTTGCAAGACCTTTCCGATGAGGTATAAATCGTATCTCTATGTCAATCAGTTATTGCATTCCTGGCAAACAGACAGACACACAGACATTTCATCTTTATTAGCCTAGACTAACTGTACCCGTTAAGGTACCACTTGCAATCAAATGATCCGATATGTAACGTAGATTGACACACAGAGAGACTTTTCATCTTTATGCTCAGCTGAGAGGACTCCTGGTTGGGAGGATTCCTGGTTGGGAGGACTCCTGTTGGTAGGATTCCCGTGGGAGGACTCCTGCGGGAGGACTCAGTGGGAGAACTCTTGTGGGAGGACTCCAGGTAGGGTTATAGCGTTCTTGCTGGACAGATGCACAGAAATTTTGTTTTTCTAGTATATATAAATGACTTGGATGATGGAATAAAGAGTTTTAAATCCAAATTTGCAGATGACACCTAGTTAGGAGGCACAGTAAATTGTGTACAGGGGAGTAGGAAGTTACAAAGGGATTTAGATAGATTATCTAAGTCCCTTTGTATCTTCCTGCTCCCATGTACACAATTTACTGTGCCTCCTAACTTATTAAATGAGTGGGCAAAACTGTGGCAATTGGAATTCATTGTGAGGAAGTGTGCGGTCATCCACTATGGATCCCAAAATAGCAAAACAGAATATTTTCTAAATGGGGAGAAACCTCAGAACTATGGAGGAGCAAAGAGATACACAAATCACTAAAGACAAGCTCACAGGCACAAACATTATCAAGAAGGCTAATGGGATGTTGGCCTTTTATCTCAAGGGGTTGGAATATAAAGGAGAGGAAATGAGACTTCAACTATACAGAGCCTTGGTCAGACCCCATATGGAGACTGTGTTCAATTTTGGGCACCGCACCTCAGGAAGGATATATTGGCTCTGGAGAGGGTGCAACACAGATTCACCAGAATGATAGCAGGGCTGAAAGGATTAAATTATGAGGGCAGGTTACATAAGCTTGGTCTCCATTCCCTTGAGTTTGGAAGGTTGAGGGATGATCTGGATTGAGGTTTTTAAAATAATAAAGGCATTCGATAGGGTAGCTACAGAGAAACTATTTCCTCTGGTGGGGAATCCAGGACAAGGGGCCGGAATATGAAAGTTAGTCCTGGGCCATTTGGGAGTGCATTTGGAAGGTGGTTTTTCACCCAAAAGGGCAGTGGAAATCAGGACCTCTCCCTCCAAAAAGGCTGTGGATGCTGGGATCCATTCACATCTCCAAGACGGAGATAGCTAGATATTTGTCAGGTTGGGGTATTAAGGGATATGGGGCAAGGGCAGGTAACTGGACTTGAGGTACAGATCAGCCATGATCTTATAGAATGGCAGAACAGGCTCGAGGGGCTGAAAGGTCTCCTGTTCCTATGTTTCTATTGCCCGACCCAGACTCAGTGCAGCATATCCATTTTCTGATGTTGGCAACGTGTATGAGAATAGAGGCAGCGTCTGCCTCGCGGGGCACAAACCCTTTTCACACTATTATCAAGCAGTGCTGGGGAGGTTAGCACTGAGTGGTTAGTTCTGGGGAGGTTAGTGCTGGGGCGGTTAGTGCTGGGGTAGTGCTGGGGGTTTAGCCCTGTGGGTTTAGTGCTGAGGGGTGGTTAGTGCTGAAGGGGGTTAGTGCTGGGGTGGTTAGTGCTGAAGGGGGTTAGTGCTGGGATGGTTAGCGCTGGGGGGGTTAGTGCTGCAGGTTTAGTGTTGGGGTGGGTGAGCGCTGGGGTGGGGTTAGTGCTCGGTGGGGTTAGTGCTGGGGGGTTTAGTGCTGAGTGGTTAGTTCTGGGGTGAGTGTTAGTGCTGGGGGTTTAGTGCTGTCGGGGATTTAGTGCTGGGGGGGGTTAGTGCTGGGTGGGGGGTTAGTGATGGGGGGTGTTAGTGCTGGGTGTTAGTGCTGGGGGGGTGTTAGTGCTGGGGGGTTAGTGCTAGGGGTGGTTTGGTGCTGGGGAGATTAGTGCTGGGGGGATTAGTGCTAGAGGGTGTTCGCGCTAGCGGGGGGTTAGCTCTGAAGGGTTAGGGCTGTGGTGGGTTAGTGCTGGGGTGTTAGGGCTGGGGGGGGTTAGTGCTGGGGTGTTAGGGCTGTGGTGGGTTAGTGCTGGGGTGTTAGGGCTGGGGGGGTTAGTGCTGGGGTGTTAGGGCTGGGGGGTTAGTGCTGGGGTGTTAGGGCTGGGGGGGTTAGTGCTGGAAGGGTTAGTGCTGGGGGGGGTTAGTGCTAGAGGGTGTTAGCGCTGGCGGGGGGGTTAGGGCTGGGGTGGGTTAGTGCTGGGGGTGTTAGTGCTGGAGGGTTAGTGCTGGGGGTTGGTGCTTGGGGGGTTAGTGCTGGCGGGGTTAGTGTAGGGGCGGTTTGTGCTGGGGGGTACTGCTGATGGGGAGGTGTTAGTGCTGCGGGAGTTATTGCTTGGGGGGTGTGTTAATGCTGGGGTTGTTAATGCTGGGGGGGGCCTTAGTGCTGGGGGAGTTACTGCTGGGGGCGTTAGTGCTGGGTGTTAATATGGGAGGATTATTGCTGGGGGGGATTAGTGCTGAAGGGTGTTAGCACTGGGGGGTTAGTGATGGGGGTTAGTGCTGGGGGCCGTTAGTGCTGGGGGACTAGTGCTGGAGGGATTAGTGCTAGAGGGTGTTCGTGCTGGCGGGGTTTAGCGCTGAAGGGTTAGGGCTGGGGTGGGTTAGTGCTGGGGGGTTAGTGCTAGGGAACTAGTGCTGGGGAGGTAGTGCTGGGGGTGTTAGTGCTGGAGGGGTTAGTGTTAGGGGGTTAGTGCTGGGGAAGTAGTGCTGGAGGGGGTTAGTGTTGTGGGGGTTAGTGCTAGAGGGTGTTAGCGCTGGCGGGGGGTTTAGGGCTGGCGGTGTTAGTGCTGGAGGGTTAGTGCTGGGGGTTGGTGCTTGGGGGGGTTAGTGTAGAGACGGTTTGTGCTGGGGGTTACTGCTGGTGGGGAGGTGTTAGTGCTGCGGGAGTTATTGCTGGGGTGGGGTGTTAGTGCTGGGGTTGTTAGTGCTGGAGGGTTAGTGCTGGGGGGGTTACTGCTGGGGGCGTTAGTGCTGGGTGTTAATATGGGAGGGTTATTGCTGGGGGGATTAGTGCTGAAGGGTGTTAGCACTGGGGGGTTAGTGCTGGGGGGTTAGTCCTGGGGGGTTAGGGCTGGGGGACTAGTGCTGGGAGGTTTAGTGCTGGAGGGGGTTAGCACTAACCCCGAGGTGGAGTTAGTGCTGGGGGGTTTAGTGCTGTGGGCATTGGTGCTGGAGGGGGTTAGTGCTGGAGGGGGTTAGTGCTCGTGGAGTTAGTGCTGGTGGGGTTAGGGCTGGGGTGGGTTAGTGCTGGAGAGTTAGTGCTCGGGGTTAGTGCTGGGGGTGGGGTTAGTGCTGGGTGTTAATACTGGGAGGGTTATTGCTGGGGGTATTAGTGCTGAAGGATGTTAGCACTGGGGGGTTAGTGATAGGGGTTAATGCTGGGGGGCTAGTGCTGGGGGATTAGTGCTGGAGGGGGTGAGTGCTGGGAGGTTTAGTGTTGGAGGGGGTTAGTGCTGGAGGGGTTAGTGATGTGGGCAATAGTGCTGGAGGGGGTTAATGCTGAAGGGGGTTAGTGCTGGAGGGGGTTAGTGCTGTGGGCATTGGTGCTGGAGGGGGTTAGTGCTGGAAGGGGTTAATGCTCATGGAGTTAGTGTTGGGGGGTTTGGGCTGGGGTGGGTTAGTGCTGGAGAGTTAGTGCTCGGAGTTAGTGCTGGGGGCTTTAGTGCTGGGGGAGTTGGTGCTGGGGGATTAGTGCTGGAAGGGATTAGTGCTGGAGGGTGTTAGTGCTGGAGGGGGTTAATGTTGGAGGGGGTTAATGCTGGGGGGTTAGTGTGGGAGGAGGTTAGTGCTGGGGGATTAGTGCTGGAGGCGGTTAGTGCTGGGGGGTTAGTGCTTGTGGGGTTAGTGCTCGTGGAGTTAGTGCTGGAGGGGTTAGTGCTGGGGGTGTTAGTGCTGCAAGGGATTGGTGCTGGAGGGTTGGTGCTGCGTTTTTAGTACTGGGGGGGGTTAGTGATGCAGGGGGTTGGTGCTGAAGGGTTAGTGCTGGGAGGTTAGTGCTGGGGGAGTTAGTGCTCGAGGGGGTTAATGCTGGAGGGGTCTTGTGCTGGGGGGGTTAGTGCTGGAGGAGGTTAGTGCCTGTGGGGTTAGTGCTCGTGGAGTTAATGCTGGGGGCATTAGTGCTGGGGGTGGGGGATAGTTGGGGGATTAGTGCTGGAGGGGATTAGTGGTGAGGGGTTTGGTGCTGGGGGTGTTCGTTCTGAGGCGGGTTAGTGCTGGAGGGATATAATAATAAAATAATAATAATCCTCGCATTTGATATAGCGCTTTTCACGTCGGGAGGACGTCCCAAAGCGCTTCACAGAACACACTGTAAAGTGAATTGACTGTATATTTGTGGGCGAACGCGGCAGCCAATTGCGCACAGCAATGTCCCACAAACAGTCGTAGATTGAAAATGACCAATTTATTATTGTTTGAGGTTTTGGAGGGATTATTATTAGGCTCTGTGTGGAGGAAGGAAACTTGCCCGAGGTTTGGCCCTGACCCCCCGGGGATTGAACTCAGGTCTCTCACTTGCAAAGCGAGTGCTCTAACCACTGAGCTACAGGACTCCACTGGACCATACAGGATATGGTGTTGGGGGCTGTTTGTGCTGGGGGTGTTTAGCACTGGGGGGGTTAGTTCTGAGGGTGTTAGTGCTGTGGGGGGTTGGTGCTGCTGCTGATGGCCTGAAATTTTCTGTTGCAGAACACGTTGGACATTCCCACGTGCTCCTGGCTACGTTTGATAAGGTAAGCTGGTGGGGGGGTGGGGTGGGTAGCTGAAGCGATCCTGGAGCTTCGGGTTAATGGCTAGAAACCCCTCACTTCCCCTGGCCCTGGAGACACAGAAGCATGTTGCTGTAGGTAAGGTTTGCAGTTTGTCCTTGTTACTAATTCCTGCCTTGCTTCCTCCACAGCACGTGGATGGCAGCTTCTCCCTGAAGCCCCTCAAACAGAAGCAGGTGGTGAGTGTAACAAGAATAAGAATAATAATCCTTGCATTTAATATAGCACCTTATCACGTGTTCGAAACGTCTCAAAGCGCTTCAAGGATACAGTGTAAACTGAATTGACTGTGGGTGAAACGCGGCAGCCAATTGGGCACAGCAGCCTCCCACACACAGTTGTGGATTGAGTGACGAAATTATTATTTTTTTCAAGGAATAGTTATCCGCAGAAAAGCTATCCACCAATCAACTAACAACCGGGTTCCTTCTTACTGCTAGGTAAACAGGTGTGTGGAGTAAGGAAACTTGCCCAACATTTCGCCCTGTCTGGGAATCAAAACCAGGTCCTCTCGCTTGCGAGGCGAGTGCTGTAACCACTGAGCTACAAAAATCCACTTTCATAATGTGTACTTTCACAGGGAGAACGTCCCAGGATATTTAGAGTGAGATGGAGGAAGCAAGGTGGAGGGTTTTCAGGAGAGAATTGGCGAGGGTGGGAGCAGACTGGCTGAAGGCTTCCGGGTGGGGGTGAGACCTCATACAGACTGGAGTTGGTGGACGAAAGTGAGTGGCCTTGAGAATGGTATTTGGTTTAAGCACGAGGATCTTACAGTCCCTGAGATAGTCTGTGGCGCTGGGTGAGGGTGATGGTACTGTGTTATGTGCACTCTCTCTCACACACTGTCTCTTTCACAGGTTGACGGTGTCAGTTACCTTCTCCAGGAAATCTACGGAATAGAAAATAAATACAATTCCCAGGAATCTAAGGTAAGGTTGGTTGCGAGCTGTGGGGGGCCCGGGGTGGAGGCTGTGATGTGGCTGGTAGGAATGCGGAGACGTGGTCAGGCAGGGTTGACAGTATCCCTCTCTCCGCAGGTGACAGATGATGAAGTCAGTGACAACAGTGCGGAGTGTGTTGTCTGCCTGTCTGACGTGCGGGACACCCTGATCCTGCCATGCCGCCATCTGTGTCTGTGTAACGCCTGCGCCGACACCTTGCGATATCAGGCCAACAATTGCCCCATTTGCCGATTACGTAAGAGGGTGTTTATTGCTAGGAGCCGAGCTCAGCCACGCCGCGCATCTCTGACTGTGTTAGCTATTATGCGTGTGCTCCATGTATTTAATAATAATAATAATAATAAAAATAAACGTGCTGTTTGCATGTTCCCACAGCATTCCGGGCTCTGCTTCAGATCCGGGCAATGAGGAAGAAGCTGGGGCCTCTGTCGCCAACCTCCTACAATCCCGTCATCGCCTCACAGGTCTCCGACTCGGAAGAGCATTCGGTGAGTGATGACCATGTACATAATGTTAGTCACTGACGTGAACTGTGCCTGGGGCGGACCCCAGCTCTGTGAGTTTCCCTCGGTCACTGGGAGATTATTACTCCATCCAAATCAGGCATGTGTTAGTAGTTTCTTTATTTGTCAATCCACCTCAATAACCCACCAGTCATAATGCGCTTCTTGGACCTTTTGTTAATAGTCCATTTTCTCTTAAAGGAGGATCCAACAACTGGAACGATTGTCAACCGTTTTCCTTTTCCCACAGTCGGATCACATCCCTCCTGGCTATGAGGCCGTCTCCTTACTGGAGGCTCTGAACGGGCCGCTCACCCCCTCCCCCTCGGTGCCGGGGCCTGTGATTGGGGACGTCCTCGGCCGGTGTGTGCTGCCTGCCTACAGCACTGACCGGCACAGCCTGCCCGGTCACACTCTGTCTCCTCTCGACAGGATGTCAGACAGCGGGAACCACATCCTCAAGCTAAAGAAGAGCACATCAAAGTGAGCAGCTTGTGGTGGTGGGGGCTGTGGAGGGGGAGGGGCTGTGAGGAGGGGGACTGTGGGGGGAGGGAATGGGGCTGTGAGAGGGAGGGGCTGCGAGGGGGAGTGACATGTGGTTCCGGTTACAGATCCTTGTCACAGAATTCCTCGATGCTTCGTGAGGAGGATGAAGAAAAATCCTTCAGTGAGAGTGAGATCCAGGCATCCCCGAGGAAGGTGTCTGGCCAGGACCCTGAGGTAACCGCTGCCTTGGCTACCGAGTCAGAAGGTCTTCTTCTTCTCCTTCAATACCTGGTGGGGGGGCTTCTCCAGCCCCCGCACCGTCTCATGTGGTGTCCCTCAGGGCTCTGTCCTTGTTCCCCTCCTTTCAATATCTATATACTCCCTCTTGGTGACATCATCCGCAGACATTGGGTCAACTTCCACATGTATGCGGATGACACCCAACTCTCTCTCTGCCCCCACCCTCGACTCCAGGACCCACTGCTGTGCTGACAGAATGTCTGTCAGATATCAAGTCCTGGATGAGAGCGAACTTTTTTCAGTTGAATGCCAACAAGACCGAGGCTCCTGATTGGCTCCGGTCAGCACCTCCTCACCTCAGACCCTGACAGCATCACCATCCATGGGGCTCACTCCCCCCTTGCTAAGCCAGTCCGGAACCTTGTTTGGCTCTCAACTATCCTTTCTACCCCACGTCCGTGCCATGACCCGCTCTGCCTTTCCCCACCTCTGCAACATTGTCCGGCTCCACCACTGTCTCACACCGCAGGCCACCGAAACCCTCATACACGCATTCAGTCTTGACTTTGTAAACCCCTTGCTTGTCGGCCTCCCCAGCTCCTCCTTCCATAGGCTGTGGATCATCCAGATCTCTGCAGCCCTTGTCCTCTCCCGTACCAGGCTCCGTGACCGTATCATCTCCATCCTCGCCCGACTCTACCGGCTTCCCATCACACAGAGGATAAAGTTCAAGATGCTTGTCCTCACATTCAAAGCCCTCCGTAGCCTTGCTCCCCCCAACCTCTCCAACCTCCTAACCCCCTACCATCCTGCTCAGTCCCTCCACTCAGCGGGCTCCAGCCTGCTTCACATCCCCTGCCTTAGCCGCCCCATCATTGGCTGGCAGGCCTTCCGCAACTCTGCCCCCACCCTCTGGAACTTCATCCTGCAGTCCCTCAACCTCGCCCCCTCCCTCTCCTCCTTCGACCTGTCTCAAGACCCTCCTCTTCGACTGTGCCTTCAATCAAACTCCTTCCCCCTCTGCACTCCACCCTCCCCGATCCCAACCCCCAGCTCGGCTCCGAAACACTGATTGTCCTTCTGACGTGAAAGGCGCTATACAAATTGCTGTGAGGGGCTGTGGGGGGGGGGAACTGTGTGGGGAGGGGATGGGGCTGTGAGAGGGAGGGGCTGTGAGGGGGCTGCGAGGGGGAGTGACAAGGTTCCGGACTGCTTAGCAAGGGGGAGTGAGCCCCATGATGGTGATGCTGTCAGCGCCTGAGGTGAGGAGGCGCTGACGGGAGCCAATCAGGAGCTCAGTCTTGAAGAAAGTTCGCTCTCATCCAGGGCTTGTTGTCTGACAGTCGAGGGTGGGGGCAGAGAGAGAGAGTTGGGTGTCATCCACATACATGTGGAAGTTGACCCCATGTTTGTGGATGATGTCACCAAGAGGGAGCGGACTGTTTCCATGCTCCTGTGCGTTCCAGGCTCTCCTTCAAATTCCTGCAGCCAGTTGGTCAGTGAGCTGCCTCTCGGTGAGGTCTGCCTGGCCTGTGTGCTCCAGTTTCCTGTTCCCAGCAGTATGATGGGAGCCCAGGTATCCCAGGGATTGGCTGATTTGGGGTCTTGTTCTTCAGGAATGTGGGGTTACTCCTGAGAGTGAAAACCTGACCTTCTCGTCCTCTGGAGCTGTGGAGCCATCTTCCTGTACGGGAACTCCCCTCTCCTCCACCATCACCTCCCCAGAGGGTAAGTGTCAACGTGAGCCACTGCACGCACAGTTGGCAATCAATACTATTCTCAGCGATTTGGGAGGATGAGCACAGCTCTGAGCGCTCACACTTCCTGCACCTGTTAGTAATTGATGTTTGCTGATTTCTGGTTGTTTCTAGGCTATGGTGAAGAGTGTGTGCACATTATCTGACTGCCTGCCTCTGTGTGTTTGTGCACAGATCCTGTAAGCAGCAGCCTCCCCCAGTCTGTCATGTCCATGGCCTCGTCCCAGAGTCAGAACTCGCAGATCAGCACTGACACCCTGTCTTCCATGTCTGGGTCCTACGTGGCGGGAGGAAGGGAGGAGTTTGAGGATGTTGGTGAGGCGGTGGCTGAGCGACTGGCCCTGCCCGAGGAGGACGAGGAGGTGATTGTCTCTCACGGTGACTGAGCGAGCGAACGGAGGGTCACATGCAGGCTGACGGTGGGGGGGTGTCCTGGTATCACTGACTCTCGTGTTTGTTCCCACAGACGCCGCCAGCTGAGGCCACAGACGCTAACTTCATCATGACATTGGCAGAGGAGCAGGACTCTGAGGTGATGGCCACCAGAGGGGGGCATGTGGGGGCTGCCTGTCTGACCAATGTGAGTTTGTCAAACTGGCAGCCCCCACCTCCTCCCCCTCCCGCCGCCTAAAGCTAGATTTAGAAGCTCTTTTCAAAGACCCGGCACAGACACGGTCGGCCGAATGGCCTCCTTCTGTGCTATGATTCTATGAGTAACTGTCTGTCTGTTTTCAGGGGAATGAGTTTGAGGACGAACCCGAATCTTCTGACTTCGAAGCTGGTAATGACCTGCCCCTCACTGTGTGATTGCCCCTCCCCCCTCGAAGCTTCCTCCCGGCTCCCACTCGCTCTACTGCCTCACGCTCTCCCCCACACGCTCTCCCCCACCCACTCTCGCCTCCCACACGCTCTTCCCCCACACGCTCTCCCCCACACGCTCTCCCCCACACGCTAATAATTATAATAATAATAATCCTTGCATTTGATATCTCACTTTTCACGTCTTCTAGACTCCCACACGATCTCCCCCCCACAACCTCTACCCCCCCCACACGCTCCCTCCCACACGCTCTCCCCCACACACTCTCCCCTTCCCACACGATCTCCCCCCCACAACCTCTACCCCCACACACGCTCTCTCCCACACGCTCTCCCCACACACTCTCCCCCTCCCACACGATCTCCCCCCCACAACCTCTACCCCCCCCACACGCTCCCTCCCACACGCTCTCCCCACACACTCTCCCCCTCCCACACGATCTCCCCCCCACAACCTCTACTCCCACCCGCTCCCTCCAAATCGCTCTCCCCCACACGCTCTCCCTCCCACATTCCCAGCCCCCGACATGCTTTCGCCCATACACGCCCCCCCCCACACACAATCTCCACCCCCCACATGCTCTGCCCCCAAATGCTCTGTTCCCACACGCGCTGTCCCACACGCTCTCCCCCACACACCCTCCCGCCCCACGTGCTCTCCCGCCCACATGCTCTTCTCTCCCACGTGCTCCCCCCCCCCTACACGTGCTCTCCCCACATACTCTTCCCCCGCGCACACTCACCCCCACACGCTCCCCCCACCCCACACGCACTCCCTCCCACATTCCCAGCCCCCCACATGCTTTCGCCCATACGCGTTCCCCCCCCACACGTTCTACCCCCACGCTGCCACCCACGCTCTCCCCCACACATACTCCCCTACACACACTCCCCCCCACAAGCTCTACTCCCCCCACACTCCCCCCACACTCTCCCCCCCACAATCTCTACCCCCACATGCTCTGCCCCCAAATGCTCTGCTCCCACACGCTCCCTCCCCCACCCTCTCCCGCACACACCCTCCCGCGCCACACACTCTCCCGCCCACATGCTCTTCCCCCCCACACGCTCTCCTTCACATACTCTCCCCCCGCACACCTCACCCCCACATGCTCTTCCCCCCCACATGCTCTCTCCCCCACACACGCTCCCCCCACATGCTCTTCCCCCACACACGCTTCCTCCCACACGCTCTCCCCCATACGCTCCCCCCCTCCCACACGATCTCCCCCCCACAACCTCTACCCCCCACATGCTCCCTCCCACACGCTCTTCCCCACACGTTCTCGCCCCCCACACACATGCTCTGCCGGCACACGCACTCCCCCACACGCGCTCCCCACACGCTCTGCCCCCACACACTCTGCCCCCACATGCTTCCTCCCACATGCTCCCTCCCACACACTCTCCCCACCCACACACGCTCTCTCCCCCACACGCTCGGCCCCCCACACATGCTCCCACTCACATGCTCTCCCCACCCACACGCACTCCCCCCACGCTCCCTCCCACATGATCGGCCTCCACACGCTCCCTCCCACACGCTCTCTCCCACACGCTTCCCCCCCACACGCGCTCCCCCCACCACACGCGCGCCCCCCCCCCCACACACGCGCTCCCCTCATACACTCTCCCCTTCACACCCTCTCCCGCCACACACTCTCCGACACGCGCTCTCCCTCCCACATTCCCAGCCCCCCACATGCTTTCGCCCATACGTGCTCCCCCCCACATGCTCTAACCCCCCACACTCCCCCCCCACACTCCCCCCCACAATCTCTACCCCACATGCTCTGCCCCCAAATGCTCTGCTCCCACACGCTCCCTCCCACACGCTCTCCCGCACACACCCTCCCGCCCCACACGCTCTCCCGCCCACACCCTCCCGCCCCACACGCTCTCCCGCCCACATGCACTTCCGCCCCACGCGCTCCCCCCACACGCGCTCCCCCACACACACGCTCTCCTCCACATACTCTCCCCCACACATACTCACCCCCACACGCCCTCCCCCCCGCCACACGCTCCCCTACACGCTTTCCCCCACACACGTTCCCCCCACACCCTCTCACTCCCCCCCACACCACGCTCCCTCCCACACGCGCTATCCCTCCCATACAATCTCCCCCCCACAACCTCTACCCCCCACACGCTCCCTCCCACACGCTCTTCCCCACACGCTCTGCCTCCACACACTCTGCCCCCACATGCTGCCTCCCACATGCTCCCTCCCACATGCTCTCCCCACCCACACACGCGCTCTCCCCCCACACGCTCCCCCCCACACATGCTCCCGCTCACGTGCTCTCCCTACCCACACGCACTCCCCCCACGCTCTCCCCCACACGCTCCCTCCCACACGCTCCCTCCCACACGCTCTCCACCACTCGCTCTCCCCCACACGCTCTGCCCCCCACACGCTCTGCCCCCCACACGCTCTGCCCCCATATGCTTCCTCCCACACGCTCCCTCCCACACGCTCTGCCCCCATACGCTTCCTCCCACACCCTCCCCCCCCACATGCACTCTCCCGCACGCTTTCCCCCACACGCTCTCCCCACCACACGCTCTCCCGCCCCACACGCACTCCCCCCACACGCTCGCCCCCACACGCTCCCCCACCACATGCTTTCTCCCACACGTCTGCCCCCACACGCTCTGCCCCCACATGCTCCCTCGCACACGCTCTCCCCACCCCGCACACACGCTCTCTCCGCTCCATATCTGTGCTGCTGGTGACTGCCTGACAGTGTGGACTCTGCTCTAGTTATTTATTTCTGAATATTGTTGTTCCATTCTGTCCCTGAATGTTTTATTCATCACATGTAATAGGTGGCAGTGGACACGCCTCCTCTCCCCTGGGTCTCACGCTGACTGAGCCATGTAGACACCGTGTGATGGGGTCAATGTGATAAATGTTGCCCAGACCCCAACCAAAACAATTGCTCGGGGTGTTGACCAGATTATGTGTGCTCTGGCTGTCACTGATAAACTCTGTGTCTCCTGTTGGTGGGGGTGGGGGAGGGGGTGTCTTTGTGGTTAGTGAAGCCAACTCCAACTCCTGCTTTGTGCCCTGTGCAGACCGGACGCTGAGCACCGTCACTGCCGTTATCTGCGACAATAACAATGAGCAGAGCAGCCTGACGGGACTGGACAACGACCCACACGGGGAGGTCAGCCTGCCTGGTGAGTGTCCGTGACCAGGGTTGGGGGCTGCTCTAACTGCTCCAATACACTCCCGACAGCTCATGATCCAACCAGACGTGGGTTGAACATTTACTGCTCTAACTGTCTCCCACATCCATCCTAGCTCTGCACAGTCAGTGTCTCAGTTGAAGTAAAAGATGCCCTGAACGTCTTTATCCTTCAGTTCTCAGTGATTACACTGAGTTGCTTGTGTAGTCTGTGCCTACGCGGTGTTGTCGTGTGCTGTCCCTTTGCACATTGGGGCCACTATGGGCCTGTTTCCTGCCTCGTTTTTCAGAGTTCTGTCTTGCCTGAAGCTCTGGCAGCCCTCAGTGTCCTCTTCCTGGGGGGCATTTCTCCCCCAGACTCCCACCTTGGTCCTAACTTCTTCCTGTAACTTCAGGTACACCAACCTCTGAGGTCAGCCTCCGACACCAGCTCTCCACACTGAACCACCTGGAGCGTGAGGACAGTGCGGACCTTCAGCATCTGTACGGCCCTGTGACGGTGTAACCTGAGCTGCATCACTCGGTCCAGAATTAATCCAACTCCAGCCTCTGTTTGCTGGGGTGGAAGCTGGACTTGGGGCCCATTGCACTTTGTAGCAGTTGAGCAGCAATAATGCAGCAATAGCGCTTGTGTAGTGGCCACACTTCCCGCATGTCAGCAGCACCCGAGGGTTTGGCAATGTTCAGCATGTGACACAACCACACGGTCCTCGGGGTCTGTGAGCTCGTACCTGCTGTCGGTTCGCTGCTGTCAGCTCCCTGGTCCCGGGGATACTGCTCTGGTTGTTTCAGTGCAATCAGCTGCTCANCCCCCCGGTCCGGTGTTCTCCAACCGACGCCAACCGGACACCAGGTGCTGCTCACAGGGCGGCTCCTCCCCGCAGGTCCTGCTCTGTGTGCTCACTGTCACCGCCTCGTGGTGTGAGCAGCAATTGTCATTGCAGCAGTGCAGGGACCTCACCGAAGCACTGGCTCATTCAATGACAATTTGTGGGTTTCTCTCGTCCCCCTGTATTTAATGGGCTAAAGGTACCAGCAAACAGACCTCTGTTTGTCATTGTTAATTTTGTGTAGTCATGGCTTATACTGAGGGATCACTTCCCCCATCCCCACACAGTGAGTGATATGTTAGTTACTGTGAACTGTACTTGTGAAAAGCTGCTTCTTGCGTTGCTACTGGGGACGCTCTGTGCAATATCTGTCCTCAGTGTTCTGTGAAACATCACATTTGTTAGAAAGTTCGCACTACATATTAGGCTATAATATAGAATTCTTAGAATGCATGTATAAAGTATATCTGTTATTTGAGGTTCTTGCTTGGGGGGCAGTGCCAGTCTGTGCCTCCCTGTATGAATAACTTTTATTGACCTCTACAAGACTGAATGATGTATATATACAAGTATATGTATATTACCAAGTTTTATTAGAATTTCATTGACTGAAAGTGATGACAAAAGGAAATAAAATCCAACAAAAACCCTTGTGCAATCATTCTGAATCACACATTCACTGTCTCACAATCCCCCCTTGCACACTCGCTGTGTCACAATCGCACACTCTGAATTCCATCTCCAAGTGGTTTATAGTGAGGGATTATAAAACGTCCAGAAATACTTCATGGGTCAACTTTCAATCTGCATTAACTGTAGCGTTTGATATAGTGCGACATCAAGTCAAAGGGCTTGTGTTTTTCTGGCTGACATAATCACTTGCTCTCTTTATGGCTGTTTGTGGGATGTTGACATCTGCAAAGTTGCTGCTTCGTTCACCTATGGAGTGTCCACAAAGTCCTCTTACCCCACTTACAAAACAGCGAAATAAGACAAGACTTTACGAAACCAGTGGAGCCTGACAAGGGCTGGTGTGACAGGGACACAGAGTTCTGAATTAGTTGAATTTTGTGCATGGTGGAGCTGGAGAGACCAGCCTGGAGGACATTGGAACAGTACAGTTGGGAAGTGACGAAGGTGTGGATGAGGGTACCCGAAGGCTCCATCCTTGGCCCCCATCCGCATTCCTGTGGATGACATGTTCTCATCAATGTCATCGTGGGGACATGGGGTCAACTTCCACATGTATGCGGATGACACCTAAATCTACCCCAGCTGCAACTCCCTGTCCGTTGATATCCTGTCAGCTTGTTTGACAGCCATCAAGGCCTGAGTGAGCACAAATTTCCTGCAGCTGAATGTTGGCAAGATGGAAGCCATTAGCTCCCGTCAACCTCTCCTGCAGGTCCGAACTCCTCAACCTCCCCGGGCTCTCCCTCAGACTCCCTGAATCCGCACACAATATAGGCATCCGGTTCAATCCCCAGCTTTCCTGTCCAGGACCGCTTTTTCCCACCTCTCTCACATTGCCCGCCCTCGGTCCGTACCTCAGAACCAAAGCAGCCGAAACCCTCGTCCGTGCCTTTGTCACTTCCCGACTGGACTATTCCAATGGCCTCCTCGCTGGTCCCCTCAGCTCCACCATACACAAAATTCAAATAATTCAAAACTCCGCCGCCCGGATACTCATCTGCACAAAACTGTGTCCCCCATCACCGCAGTCCTTGCCAGGCTCCACTGGCTCCCAATTACTGAATGAATCGATTTCAAGATCCTCTCACTCCTTTTCAAATCCCTTCAAGCCCTCGCACCTCCCCACCTCTGGACCTGCTTACCCTCCACTCCACCACCCACTGCCTCCGCTCGGCTGGCTCCGGCCTCCTGTTTGTCCCTTGTCCCTTCCGCTCCACCATCAGTGGCCGTGCCTTCAGCCACTGCGCCCCAAAACTCTGGAACTCTCTCCCTCAATCCCTCTGCCTCACCCCCTCCCTCCCCACCTTCAAATCCCACTTAATGACCTTCCTTTTTGATGGTGTTTCCAGTCACCTCCCCCCTCCCTCTCCGGCTCAGGGTCAGACTCCGCCACTGTCAGGTGCTCCGGGACGCGACCCCACGTGAAGGGCGCGTTGTGGGGTGTATTTGGGCTCTCCCTCACTCCCATGTTGTAGAAGTGTGACACTGACCTGGTGACGGATCAAAATCTGCCACGAAAATGATGGCGCTCAGAGACTCCCATCCACATCCTCTCTAAACATCTGAATACAGGTCACAGTTGTACTCAATACATTAAGTGTTGGACTTGTAAATATATCATTATCACTCACAGCTGTTGGTCAGTGCACTGTGTAAAGCACAGGGGAGGGGGGCGGCCCTGTACACACAGCCCCCCCACCCCCGCTACACACACACACACACACACACACCAGCCCCCCCCCGCTACACACACACACCAGCCCCCCCCCCGCTACACACACACAGCCCCCCCCCGCTACACACACACACAGCCCCCCCCCCGCTACACACACACACACACACACACACAGCCCCCCCCCCCGCTACACACACACACCACACACAGCCCCCCCCCCCCGCTACACACACACAGCCCCCCCCCCGCTACACACACACACACACACAGCCCCCCCCCCCGCTACACACACACACACCACAGCCCCCCCCCCCCGCTACACACACACAGCCCCCCCCCCGCTAACACACACACACACACAGCCCCCCCCCGCTACACACACACACACACCAGCCCCCCCCCCCGCTACACACACACCACACACACAGCCCCCCCCCGCTACACACACACACACACAGCCCCCCCCCCGCTACACACACACACCACCACACAGCCCCCCCCCCCGCTACACACACACACACAGCCCCCCCCCCCGCTACACACACACACACACACCACCACAGCCCCCCCCCCCGCTACACACACACACACAGCCCCCCCCCCCCACACCCCCCCCCCCGCTACACACACACACACACAGCCCCCCCCCCCGCTACACCACACACACACACAGCCCCCCCCCCCCCCCGCTACACACACACACACAGCCCCCCCCCCGCTACAACACACACACACAGCCCCCCCCCGCTACACACACACACACACAGCCCCCCCCCCGCTACACACACACACACCCCCCCCCCGCTACACACACACACACACAGCCCCCCCCCGCTACACCACACACACACAGCCCCCCCCGCTACACACACACACACACACAGCCCCCCCCCCGCTACACACACACACACACAGCCCCCCCCCCGCTACACACACACACACACAGCACTGGGCAGCGCCGGCAGCTAAGATTTGGGGCTTGTTATTGAGCAGCGGCCCCGGAACCCCCCGCCCGGCCTCGGGGGAGCGGTTCGGTGCCGGACCGGAAACCCGGGGGAGCGGTTCGGTGCCGGACCGGAAGCGCGGCTGCACGCGGTGATGGCGGAGGGCGCGCAGTTGGGGCTCGAGCAGCAGCTGCCGGTGCTGCAGCAGTTGGAGCGGGTCGGGCTGTTCACCCACCACGAGATCAGGTGCGAGTCCCCGGGGGGAGGGCCGCGGCGGCTCCCGGTCCCGGGCCCGGGCCCGAGGCTCACGTGTTCACGGTGCCCTCTTGTCTCCACAGGGCGGTGGTGAGGAAAACCTCGGCTCTGGAGTACAAACTGCACCGCAGAGCTCTCAGCAAAGAGCACTTCATCAACTTCATTCAGGTCAGACACCCGCGGCCCCGCCCGCACTCTGCGGCGCTGTTACTGTCCTCAGGATCCTCCAAACCCTCCATTGCACCTCATAACATAATCATTTGTTGGCGAAAGAAGAGGCCATCTCCATCTCGCTTCCCCCCACCGTCCTGACAGTCGCTTCTCATGTCTTGTCCCAAACTACATACTGTATCCTGAGATATTATTTTCTTGCAGAAATCTGTCTTAATTTGTTCTTGAAACAAATGACATTTTCTGCTTCCACCATCTGTCTCCCTGTTCCATAAGTTTATTACTCTCTCACTGTAAGTAGTGTTTCCACAGATTTGTTCTGAATTTACCCCCTTTTCTTCAAACCAGTGATCTAATTCCATGTTTAGGACTCTGACTCCATAGGTTGTGGCCATGAATTCTACATTCCAACCACATTCCCTGTAACTTGAAGGGTTCGGGGGGAGTTTTGTATCATGAAGAGTTTGAAAGGGGAAGGTTCTTTTCATTCAGCCGGGAGTCTGACATGAGAAACCCCAGCACTATGCTTAAGAGTATCCAAACTAAATTGAGAATTCCACTTTCCCACCTACACATGGAAATACCAGAGATGTTTATTGGAATGGGATGTGCTCTCTCTCCCTGGAGGGACTCATACTGCTTACCTAAATCTGGTAAGTATCGAGTATTAGTTTGCAACGTAAACACTGGTGTGAAAAGTGCAGTAGAGCTGTTATTGGTGTGTTTATTACCTTTCATGTTTTTCAGTATGAAATTAACTTCCTGGAACTGATCAAGAAAAGACGAGCAGTAAGTGAAAATCTTCCTCTTACATTACATTACCCGAAGCTCCCAACTTTTCTCCTATTTCTAAACTCCTTTTTCTAAATTCCCTCCCTCCAGCGAATTGGTTATACATTCAAGAAGGACGAGATTGAGTACATAATTATTAACCGGATTCATAATGTCTTCAAAGGAGCCACTGAGAAGTGGAAGGTGAGGCCTGTTATTTGGTATGTGTGTGTGTGTATCTGTCTGTCTGTGTGTCTGTCTGACTGACTGACTGATTCTGTCTGTTGCAGAGTGACATCAAGCTGTGGCTTTCACACATCGCATTTTGCAAGAAATGGGTAAGTGTTTTTGATATCTTATTTCCTGATTAGTCAATATTTCTGTCCTCACCTGCCATCAGGCACTAAATCATGTGGGACGCCTCCAACTAAATTTCCCAACCTAACCTGTTCTCAAGCCAACAGTAAGCCCAACTGAGGACCCTCCTTCCCTGGATAAATGTGTCTGTCCTCCTGCAGCCAGCAGAATTCCCATCGTGTCTGTGCTGTAACACCAGCTAGATTGGCTTTCTTTCCCTTCCTAGCGGAAAAGGGAAAGCCATTCTCAGATGAAATGCTGCTGGGAGTGAGGATGCCCAAGTCTGTGGCTGTGGAGGACAGTTCAGGGCAATGGGTACTGATGGCTCTGTTTATTTCACAGAACAACAAGCTGAGGCTCAGCAAAGTTTTCTCTGCAATGCTGGCCATTCACCCAGACAAGCCAGGTAAGCAAGGGCTGAGGGCATTCAGAAACTAGCAAATCCAGCAGTGTCTGAGGGAGGATAAGGGGCAGTGACTCAGCTTAGACCCTTCACTAGTGCTGGAGACAACAGCAGCAACAAATTCCATTCATATATCACCTTTCACAATTTTTTTTCCAATTGTAAGAAATAGCAGTGGGTTGGGTGGCAGGGAGTGAGGTGGAGGAGTTAAGGGAGATGAAATAATGGTCCAAGACAGTGTCCATCAAAAGGGTGGGGGAACAGGGGGGGGACAGACTTCCTCTGGTACCTCAGCACAGATATCCACACACTCAGACAGAGAGATGGCATGGTTGTGTGTTTTACACCTTTTTAATCACTTATTTTCCAGCACTGTGGATCATGGCTGCCAAGTGGGAGCTGGAGGATCGCACGGCCTCAGAGAGCGCGAGGCATCTGTTCCTGCGGGGTTTACGCTTTCATCCCAAATCTCATAAACTGTATCAGGAGGTGAGGCTTGGTCTGCGTCTGAGCTGCTTCTCTTCACTCTAGGGACGTGAGATGTAGGTGGTATATGCTTCTCGGCAACCTGTATCTGACACTAATCCCAGCCTTGTGGTCTCTCTGCAGTATTTCCGGATGGAATTGATGCATGCAGAAAAACTACAGAAGGAGAAGACTGTCCTGGAGACTCATCGGGACAAGGTATGGACACAATCTCATTATTGACTCCTGGGGAGATGGTTGGGGCTGGATTGATGTGCTGCCCTGGTGTCAGGTGCTGTGGTGCCCGGTGGCTGAGTGTTGCGTGTTTTACAGAGTAAATCTGCATATCCCAAGGAGATCCTGCAGGGTGAGCTGGCGCGAGTTGTGTACAAAAATGCCATCGAGAAAATCCCAGGTAAGCACCTGACCTGCTCCAGGGTCTGTCTCACTGTGGAGTACAGTGTCTGATTAGGCTATGGAACTCTATCCCCCAGTGCCTTCGCCGCCTCCTCCCTTTCCTCCTTCAAGGCCGGTCTCAAGACCTTTCTCTTTGACCGTGCCTTCAGCTCTCCTCTCGACTCTCTACCCCCTCCTCGCTCCCTCCCTTCCCTCCCCCTGACCATTTCCCCCCAATGCTCGGGTCCTGACCCAACTGTACAGCGCCTTGGGACGTCCTCCCGACGTGAAAGGCGCTCAATAAATGGAATGTTGTTGTTGTTGTTGTTGCACCATTGATTGCAGCTCTGCACATTTTCCATCGGTTCCCAGTGTTTCCAGGGCTGAGATCGTGCTCCAGCATCAGTGACCTGGGTGGTTCTCGGTGACTGATCTCTGCTTTGCTATATTCAGGTGATGCTGAATTCCACCTCTCGTTGCTGACAATCGCTGCCCTCTTCAGTTTCACGCAGGAGCTGCAGAGAGAGATTCTGCAAGAGTGAGTCTTTTCTACGTGGCTGAATGAGGATGTTATCTGTTACCATGTGACTGGACATGTGTCTTGCATGTGTGTTTGGCGTGCTGTGTGTGTTTGGCGTGCTCTATCTCTCTGCCCACTACTGGCTGATGTCATCAATCAGTCCCTCTCCCCTGGATCAGTCCCTGCCCCTCAAAACTGCTGTCAAAACCCCCCTCCTCAAAAAACCTTCCCTAGATCCCTCAAACTCTAGCCACTACCGCCCTACTTCAAACCTGCCCCTCCTTGCCAAAGTCCTAGAACGCGTTGTTGCCAATCAACTCCGCGCACACCTCTCCTCCCACTCCCTCTTCGAACTCCTCCAGTCCGGTTTCCACCCACAGTACAGAGACTGCGCTTGTGAAAGTCACAAATGATATCCTGTCGTGACCAGGGCTCCCTCTGCCTCCTTGTCCTGGACCTCTCCACGGCGTTCGATACAGTCGATCACGCCATCCTCCTCCACCGCTTTTCCTCCGTCATCCACCTCAGTGGGAACGCACTCACCTGGTTTGAGTCCTGCCTCACAAACCACCAGCAGTACATCTCTACAAAGGGCTTTTCCTTACGGTCTCACCCGGTTATCTGCAGGGTACCCCCAAGGATCCATCCTTGGCCCCCTCTCTTCCTAATCTATATGCTTCCTCTTGGGGATGTCATCCGCAGACATGGGGTACACTTCCACATGTATGCGGACGACACCCAACTCTATTTTTCCACCTCACTTTGCGATCCCCATTCCCCTGTTATTCTGTCAACTGCCTGTCAGACCTCAGGAGCTGGATGAGCATGAATTTCCTTCAGCTAAATGTTGACAAGACGGAAGCGACACTTTTTGGCTCTAGTCAACTTCTTCAATCGCACGGTTCTCACTCATCTCCTCCGCCTTACCCGACCTGCCCCTAAAACTCTCCGAACCCGTATGCAACCCAGGCTTCAGGTTCAACCCCCGATTATCCTTCCTCCCTCCCTCACATCCGGTCCTTCACCAGCACCGCTTTCTTTCACCTCTGACTCATTGACAGTCTCTGCCAATATCTCACCCCAAAAGCCGCCGAAACCCTGGTCCATTCCTTTGTCACCTCTGGCCTGGACTATTCAAATGCCCTCCTCGCCGGTCTCCCCTCCACTACCATCCATAAAATCCAGGTCATCCAGAACTCTGCCGCCCACATTCCTACCCGCACCAAACTCCGCTCACCAATCACTGCACTGGCTGCCTATCCCAGAGAGGATTGATTTCAAGATCCTCACTCTTGTTTTCAAATCCCTCCATTCCTTTGCACCCCCCGACCTCTCTGACCTCCTCGCTCCTCACAACAGTGCCCATTGCCTTCGTTCCTCCGGGTCTGGCCTCCCCCTTGTCCCCCTTCGCTCCACCCTCGGCGGCCGTGCCTTCAGCCACTGCGCCCCGAGGCTCTGGAACTCCCTTCCTCACTCCCTTCCCCTCACCCCCTCTCTTCCTACTTTCAGGTCTCGGCTGAAGACTTTTCTTTTCGACCGCTCCTTTGGTCACCTTCCTCCACTTGGCTCGGTGCTGGGATCCGTTACTATGAAACGCTCTGAGATGCCGTCCAATGTGGCGGGCGCTATATAAATCCAAGTTGTTGTTGGCACGCTGTGTGTGATGGCGTGCTGTGTGTATTGGGTGTTGTGTATGTTTGACGTGGCATGTGTTTGGCATGTGGGTGTTACGTTACATGTGGGCGAGGCATGCTGTGTGCATGCGTGCCGAGCTGTGTGCATGTGTGTGACGTGCTGTTTGTGCTGCTCTGCAGTTTACAGACACTTCACACCAACAACGCCACGACCTGGGACTTCCTGGCCAGACGTGAGCTGGAGGCTGAGCCTCTGCCATTGGCTGGAGTGTTGCCACGACTACAAGCGTGTGATGTGTCCCGGCGTGAGGGGCGGTGCCATGCCGTGTATGAGGAGGCCGTGTGCAAGGTGCCAACAGGTTAGAACATATGTGTGTGGGGGAAGTGGTGGGGGGCACTAGTGCTGTCACTGACAGCATTTCTCAGTCACTGACAGGCCTTCAGCGACTGAGTGACACAGTAAACTAACGGTTGCTGTGTTCTGGTCTGACCACAGAGGCTGTGTGGAAATGTTACATCACCTTCTGCCTGGAGAGGTTTAAACGGAAAAGCAACAATAAGGCCCTGCGAGAGATGGTGAGTAACAAGGAATCCACAGGTGTGACCACTGCAGGGGATGAGGGGGCTGCTGGGAGCAAGAGCAAAGTTTCATATTATTCCTTTCTGTTTTGCAGAGACAGACAAAGCTGCTGTCAGTGTTTGAACGGGCGCGTGAGAGCAACCTGTTTCCAGAAACTCTCTTACCGCAGTGGGTAGGTGTCACTGTGTGTGTGTGTGGATGTGAGAGGGTGAAGGGAGGCAAGGGAGTTCTTTGTGAAAGTTATCCAGTGTGGATCTCGGTATAATCAGCAACAGTGATAACAGCTCACTGTAGGCCAGTGGAGGCACAGGAGCAATTCCGTTCAATAACCTGCCTGTCTGTCTGTCTCTTTCAGCTGCAGCTGCTGGTGGATCTGGGCAAACCCGAGGAGGCAGCACGTGTGGCTATGACTGAGGCTCGTTACAGTAGTTCAGTGCAGGTTTGGGTGCAACGGCTCCAGGTTCTGATGGGGTTACAGAGCAATGCTGTGAACAGCCTGTGTGAGGAAGCTTTCCGCCAGGTCCCACCCAAGGTTGGTAAACTTCCCTGATGGCCAAGAGGCCCTGTGTGGACAGTAGCAGCCAATACAGAGCTGCTGATAGCAGAGCAGGGAGTAGCCTCGGGGCTCAGTGGTCAATGCTGTTCTTACACTCACTACCTTCCTCTCTCACAGGACAGTTTACCTTTGTGGACTCTCTGGTTGGATTGGAGTGAAAACACAAACAGCCAGGAGGAAATTGAAGCTATTTATCAGGTGAGTTTGGTGGCACTCGGTGGCTGAGGAGGGAGAGGTTTTGATGGGCGACGCAGCATCTCAATGACATTGATTTGTACCCACAGAAGGCGCTATTGTCCCCAATCAAGCCCGTCTCTGTGGCTGTGAAGGAGAAGTACCTGGACTGGGCGCACCGGACGGCAGGCTACCGAGGGGCAAAGAGAGTCTTCAACAGGTGGGTGATCACTAGTGTCACCGCGCTGCCCCTAGCACTGCTCGCTGTGGCTGTGACTGCCCCCAGCACTGCTCACTGTGGCTGTGGCTGCCCCCAGCACTACTCGCTGTGACTGCCCCCAGCACTGGTCGCTGTGGCTGTGGCTGCCCCCAGCACTACTCGCTGTGACTGCCCCCAGCACTGCTCACTGTGGCTGTGGCTGCCCCCAGCACTACTCGCTGTGACTGCCCCCAGCACTGCTCACTGTGGCTGTTGCTGCCCCCAGCACTACTCGCTGTGACTGCCCCCAGCACTGCTCACTGTGGCTGGGACTCGATACCCACGTCATTGGTGTTTTCATTGTTTGCTGTTTTTCTGCTTCCAGCCTGCGGGAGTCTCGGCCTTTCTCTCTGGAATTTTTCAGGAAAATGATTGAGATTGAAAAGGAGCAGGTGAGTGATCCCATGGGTGGGAGATCCTGGGAGAGGGAATTCTGCTGTGAGATCCCGCGGGAGTGTTGGGTCTGTGGAGGTAGCTATACAAGTGCAGGTTGTTGTTGTAACCGCGACATTATTGCTCCGCAGGAAGCCTGTAAAATGTTGCAGCTGCGAGAGGTGTATGAGCGAGCGCTCCGCGAGTTTGGATCCACAGATGCTGGTAACGACTCCCTTTCTAATCAATGGCACCAAGTCTGAGGTCACTTCAGCTGGACTGTGTGAAGTGTCTTTTGATGGGGATTAAACAGGAAGTTTCCATGGAGGCTGACTGTGCGAGCGCGAGGGCTTTGGAGACGATGCTGACTTGGGGAGGGGGCTGTGGGCTGGGGTCTCACTATTCGGGGTTTGGTTCTCACCGTTTTTCTACTTTGTTCTCAGACCTATGGCTGGATTACATCTGGGAGGAGCACAGCCACCCACACGGGCAGCCATGCAATGTGGGGAAGCTGCACTGGAGAGCCATGCAGGCGCTGCAGGGAGAGGGCGTGGAACACTTTGTGACTCAGTACACACTCCTCCAGACAGGACATTTGGAGCAGGAGTGAGTGACCATTAGCAACTGTCTAAATAAACTAAACAGCAGACAACAGGCTCCGCTAACCTTTAAACCCACACCTGGAGCTCCTGCAATGGCCAATCCTTTCTTCAAAGAGAAACTACTAGAAACAGAGAAAAAAATCATGTGATTAAATTTTTTTCCCTGAACAAGTTCTCACTGTCTTGGTGTCTTGGCCCAGACACTCTGTCCCTGACAGGACGAGGATCTGCGTGGGGTGGGGGGGCGAGGGAGCCATGGAGCCAGCGAGGGTGGGGGTGAAAGTCTCACAGACTGATGTCGGAGAGGCTGGTGTCCTGCTCAGCTTCTAAACATAGCCTGTGTTTCTCTGTCCAACTTTGTTTTTTCTCTCTCTACATTCCTGAGATCTCAGAAAGTTCCTGATTTAGTTTGGCGTCAGACCACATCCATCTAATGTGTCCACCAGCTTTTATTAATATTGACTACAGATTAAATGTATGTAATTTCCTCACTGGTAACCTCAGCCACTGTCCAGTCCAGTGTGAGGCCAGCTGTGTATAAACAACGCATTGCTGATCAAGATTCATTTCCTTTGCAAACCAAGTTGTTTGGTTTCCTGTGGAAAAACTTTGTTTTGAGAGACTCAAGTATATTAATTTCTTCTTGAAGTATTATAAAGATTGTTTCCATTTCCTCATCCTTTTCCTGAAGCGCAATCCTTACTGTTTGTAGTGTTTCTTCTATTTGTGTCAAATTAGCAGTTAGCATCATTATCTGAGACAGAACATGAATTTTTGTCTGCCCTAAACCCTGGAGGTTTTGCTGCATCTTCGTGCATTTGAATTCATTTCTGTAAATCTTCAATTTATAACATAACGCCATGAAAACTGCAACAATTGCAATTATAACAATTAATACAGAAAAAATAGACCATATCAGCTTGAGGTTCTGGAGCTCACTTCAGAGATTCTCCTGCTCCCTGAAGAGATTCTGCCGCTGCCGTGAGAGAGCACAGAGGGCACTTTGTGTCCGAGTGTTGAAGGGCCTCAATGATAGTGTATGTGACGCAGGTGTAAATGCACCTGAGGATTTCCATCCTTCACCAGCAAAACAAAGGTGTTTCAGGTTTGTTGTCACCACTGTAACAACCAATTTCACAAATGCTGATAAATTATAACACATCACCAAATTGACTACAGGAAGCACAGACTGCTGAGAATGGATTCGTGTAGCTCAGTGGTTAAGAGCACTCGCCTCACAAGCGAGACCTGGGTTTGATTCCCGGTCAGGGTGAAACCTTAGGCAAGGTTCCTTGTTCCACACACTTGTTTACCTAGCAGTAAGTAGGAACCTGGGTGTTAGTCGATAGGCGGATCACTTTTCTTGGGGTAATAATCCCTTCAAAATAAATAAAAGTGGTAATTTGGGTAATCAATTCACAAATGTGGCACTCTGCTGTGGGCAATTGGCTTTAAAGTATATTCTGTGAAGCACTTTGAGATGTCTCAAAGATGCCAAAAGCACTATATCAAATGCAAGGATTATTATTCATGGACACAGTGGCACTGGTGAGCTCCTAGTTATAAATAATAAACAATTCTTACATTTGGTTTGACGTCAGGAGGATGTGCTTCACGGGTTATACTGTAATCTGATAGATTATCCAACCTGTCTCTATCTGGATTACACCTTAAGGGATAAATTAGGACACATTGCCCACTTGTATCACTCACAGGGATCTGCCTGTGAAATTGAGACCAATGCTCCACCTCATCTGATTCCCTGGAATGAGCTGCTTTCTGCACCTGAACTCGAAGTCACCTGAGAACATTGACAGCTCTGCGCAAACTTCAGATACAATAGCAGAAAATGTTGAGAAATCAGTTTAGCCAAACGTGTGTAGCTGCTTTGTGCACTTGTCATCATTAGGAAATAATTGCACATTCTGTAACTAAACCTTTATAGTTTTCTCATTTTAATCAAAAACGATAATTAAATTGTTTGAACACTTGAATATGTGATGTTACAGAAAAGCAAAACTTTTATATATTAGAATTGTAAACATCACAGAAATCAATGGCAGTGCTATTTTGAGTGCTCTAACCAGCTTAGTGGTTACAGCACTCACCTCACAAGCAAGAGGACCTGGGTTCTATTCCCAGACAGGGCAAAACCTTGGGCAAGTTTCCTTACTGCACACGCCTCTGTTTACCCAGTTGGTTGTCAGTCGATTGGTGGATCATTTTTCCGGGGATAATAATTCCTCATGAAAAAAAACAATAATTTGGTCACTCAATCCACAACTGTTTGTGGGACGCTACTTTGCACAATTAGCTGCCGCTTTTCGCTCACAAAATACAGTCAATTCACTTTACAGTATATTCTGTAAAAATTGATCATTAATACAGCTTTGAGACATCTCAAAGTACTTTGAGCTGTCTCGAAGACAAGATAAGGCACGTGCAAGGATTACTATTATTTATTATAGTGCTCTCTCTCTGTACAAGGACAGTTAAACCACTTATGTGCAAATGTGCTGGAAAGTGTCTGTGAGGGAGACTTGAAATCCAGCAACTTGTGACCTGTATCCCTGGTTAGAATTGTTGAAGGAATCTGATGTGGAGCCACACCTTGGAGAGGATGCTGATTCGTGGCACCTTTCAGGCTGTTTCCTGGCACGTTAGAGATGTTGGTGACAGTTTAGAGGCTGGTTGGTGACTGACATCATATTATAATTAGAGCAAGGTCATTTAGGAGTGAAATCAGGAAGCAGTTTTTCAAATTGTGAAATGTGGTTGAATGGCCTCCTAACAGTTAAGATTTAGGTTAGGAATAGATTAGAGGCTAATGGTTTATAGCCTGCTCACTGAAGACAGAATTAAGAACATCAGAGGTGGGTTAGAAATAGTATTAGGTAAGCTGCCAGTTCAACACTGGTTTCTGGTCTTGTTAAAGGGGTGTACACTGGGAGCTGGGTGAGTGGTTTTATCAGAGGGATTGGATCCTGGATATAGGGAGAGAGCAGTGGTAATGCTGGCTGTGTTATTAAAGCAGTGAACTTGGTACATCCTCTGGGAACACAGGATCAGGAGGAGGCCATTCAACCCCTCAAGCCTATTCTGTCATTTTATTCATAGCTGATCTGTGCCTCAACTCCAATTACCCAGCCTTGCCCCATAACCCCTGATAACCTGATCTAACAAACATCCAATCACCTCAGTCTTTTGGGGAAGAGAGTTCCAGATTTCCACTACCCTTTGGGTGAAAAACTGCCTCCTGATAGAACTCCTTGATTCTAAAGGGGCAAAACAATATAGATCATGACGGGCTGTTTCAACTTGTCCAGGATAGTAACACCAGAGGCTGCGATTGAAAGGGGTAAATTCAGAATGAATACACAAACACTATTTTAGTGAGTGAATAGTGAACCTGTGGCTCCCGAGGGAGACGGTTGAAGCAGGAAGTGTTGATTCTTTCAAACACAGATTAGTTTTTTTAGGAAACAACATTATGGGATACAGAGAAGGTAGTTTGGACATATGTGCCTGTGACCGCCGGGAAGGTGGAAGGCGAACTAGATGGACCTTGGTCTTTTTTCAACTAGAATTTCTTATGTTCCTAAATGACCTGGCACTAATTTTAACCTGGGTTCAATTCCAGGCAGGGCAAAACCTTGGGCAAGTTTCCTTACTCTACACGCCTGATAATAATCCCTCCCAAACAAAAACAATAATAAATTGGTCATTTTAAGTCCACGACTGTTTGTGGGACATTGCTGTGCGCAATTGGCTGCCGCGTTCGCCCACAAATATACAGTCAATTCACTTTACAGTGTGTTCTGTGAAGCGCTTTGAGACGTCAAGAAGATGTGAAAAGCGCTATATCAAATGCAAGGATTATTATTATTATTTAAGCTATTGGCCCCTTGTCCTGGATTCCCCACCAGAGGAAATAGTTTCTCTGTAGCTACCCTATCGAATGCCTTTATTATTTTAAAAACCTCAATCAGATCGTCCCTCAACCTTCCAAACTCAAGGGAATGGAGACCAAGCTTATGTAACCTGCCCTCATAATTTAATCCTTTCAGCCCTGCTATCATTCTGGTGAATCTGTGTTGCACCCTCTCCAGAGCCAATATATCCTTCCTGAGGTGCGGTGCCCAAAATTGAACACAGTCTCCATATGGGGTCTGACCAAGGCTCTGTATAGTTGAAGTCTCATTTCCTCTCCTTTATATTCCAACCCCTTGAGATAAAAGGCCAACATCCTATTAGCCTTCTTGATAATGTTTTGTGCCTGTGAGCTTGTCTTTAGTGATTTGTGTACGTGGACACCCAAATCTCTTTGCTCCTCCAAAGTTCTGAGGTTTCTCCCCATTTAGAAAATATTCTGTTTTGCTATTTTGGGATCCATGACCTCACACTTCCCCATGTTGAACTCTATCTGCCACAGTTTTGCCCACTCACTTAATCTATCTAAGTCCCTTTGCATCTTCCTGCACCCATCTAATAATAATAAAAACCCTTGCATTTGATGTAGCGCCTTATCACATTTTCAAGATGTCTCAAAGTGCTTCACAGATTATACTGTAAAGTGAATTGACTGCATATTTTATGGGCCAAACACTGAGCCTCCTAACTTTGTGTCAGCTGCAAATTTTGCTATAAAACTCTCTATTCCTTCATCAAAGACATTTATATATGTGTATGGTGAGGCCACAGTACAGACCCCTGGAGAACATCACTAGTCACATCCCGCCAATCAGACCACGTTCCTTTTATCCTTACTCTCTGTTTCCTGCCTCCTAACCAAATACCAAGCCACATGGCAAGTTTACCTCCCATTCCATGTGCTTTTATTTTTGCTAATAATCTCTTATTCAGAACCTTATCAAATTCCTTCTGTAGACGACATCCACAGACACTCTCTAACCATCATGTTATTGACCTCCTTAAAATATTCAATCAGATTCGTCAGACATGACCTACCCTCACAAATCCACGCTGACTCTTTGATTAGCTCATACTTGTCCAAGTGCTCAGTCGCTCTGTCCTTGATGAGAGATTCCAGTAACGTCCCCACAGCTGAAGTGAAGCTGACAGGTCTGCTGTTACCTGGTTTCTCCCTCCCTCACTTCTTAAATAATGGAGTGACATTTGCAATTCTCCAATTCAAGGGCACAATTCGTGAATGTAGAGCTTTGGAAAATTATGACTAACACATCTGCAATTTCCTCCCCTACTTCTGTTAATCCCCTGGAGTGGTATCCACCAGTTCCTGGAGATTTGTCTATCTTTAATCCCATTATTTTCTCCATTACCATCCTTATTATCCATTATAGTCTCACCTACATTTGTCTTTAATGGGGCCCACATTCCACTTTACCACTCTCTTTCTCTTAATATATTTCTAAACACTTTTACTATTGCCCTTGATATCTCTTGCATATTCCCTCTTTGCACCTCTCATTACTTTCTTTGTATCTCTTCCTTGTTTTTTATAAGTCTCCTAGGCCGCCAGATTTCTACTTGTTCTTCCGTTCGTGTTAACCTTTCTTTTAGTTTGTTGCTGCCTCTGACCTCATTTGTTGAGCCTGGCTGTTGAGCGTTTGTGTTTGGGGGATGGCCTGGTTCTGTTTTGTACTAAATTCTTCTTTGAAAACTTCCCACGATATGTCTGTGGGTTTACCCATTAACAGT